TATGGCGCCAACACTAACATTGTAAATTCTCTCCTCATTCCTGGTATTTTTTTTCCTAATAAATATATTTTTATGTAATTAATATTATTGTTCATAATTTATGCTAAGTTCATAATAACATATGTTTTACGTGTATAATATAAACTAGATATTAAAAAAGAAAAAAAAAAAAAAAAAAGGAAGAAAAAAGACCACTAATTAACCATCACGTTTATCCACCGACACAAAACACGAGTCTTACCAAAAAGGCAAAAAGAAAAAGACAAAGACAAAAAGCCCCATAAGCATTTAGCGCTACGCTCATTTGAAACGCGTGTATTTCAATAATAATTAGTTTCAATAATAAATTAGAATTATATATATGAATTAATCATACTTAAAATCAATTACTATATTAATTCGAATTTTACAAGACCATGCGTAAATTTAATTTTTTTTTTTTCTAACATATTCTATGAAACTAAATTCTACAATCGTAATCCAAATTTTATGTGTACACAAATTGCAATTTATATGTATAATGTATTATTAAATTAATTTTATTTTATGTATGTATTATGCATTATTAATTAATAACACTATATATTTTAAGTAAACTAATATTGTTATATTTCAAAAGACCTAAACAGAAAAGCTACCAATAATAAATAATTAATAGCTTAAAGAAAATTGGTATTTAAAGTAATGGGCTATGTTTGTCGATGACCAACAGCCCACTATGCTAATAGTTGATGTATGATGTGAACAAGGCCCAAAAAGGTTGGAAATTATTTAGTGCTTTTGACTAATTTAAAGAATTCAAAATATGCATTCCCATCTACATTTAGAAAAATATTCTATTATTATAAAGATTTTGTAATAAATTAATTTTTTTTTAATTAATAAATTACTATTTTTGAGAAACATGACATGTGAAGCAATTATCTATATATATAAATGCAAAATTATTTGTCCAAGTTGGATAGGATTGAATTTTGCCAGTACAATATTTAAGTGATTGCGGAAATATATACAGTTATTCAACTTTTCCGTTTATCGAGCATGTTTATCTTGTTTGCGACGAGGCAAATTTGGGTTAGAGTTAGAGCAAAGTCGAGTTTAGGGCATGTTGGAAACATAAATTTTAAATAAATCACATCAGTAACGATTTGAACTTTAGTTTAGACGGTCATTTTCAGAGTCAGAGTAAATGAAAAGTCGTCCATCTGTCACAAATTACAATATTCGATTTTTCCATTATTTTTTACTTCTGAAGTTGAAAACTCGAATAAAATACAATTGGATTTCACTCGCCGTGTCCTAAACTAAACTGAATCAGTCAAATATAATCAGATTCAAGTGAAAATCAGATTAATCACACCAAGTTTAAAACAAAGAATCATAAATTAACTCAATGATTTGGCAAAACAAAAGAGACACACAATTCCGACCGTTAAAATCCAAGTCCCAATTGTGAGTCATTGTCTCATTTGACCATACTTTCTGAAATTTTCAGCAGCAGACTATTAAATTAAATTAAATTAATAAATTAATAATAAATAAATAAATCAGAAGAGCAAAAAAAGGGAATGTAATCATACTATACCACATCTTCTTAAACATTGTGCCATTTTACACCTTGCACCAAACTCCAACTTATTTTTTTATTTTTATTTTCAATTATTTGAGTTTTACTATATATATACACTACAAGGGTGAAAATATCTTTGAAATAATATTTATTTTACCTATTTTTTTATTTTTACTTAATTAGCAACTCACAATAAATGAACAAATAGGAATATTTTCTTATTTATTTGCAAACAGCTTCTCTATTTGTCATTTAGTTTTTGAGGAATGAAATATGAAACATTTATGGGTTGAAACATAAATTCTATTAAGCATTAATTAGTTCCAAATGCATGAGGCAGGTACTGTAAGAAGTCAAAGCAAGATTTGACCATGTATAATCCATGATAAAGTAATGAGTTAGTTAAATTTATTGTTAGCCACTTTTTTTTTGTTCTTTTTTCTTTTTTATAATTAAGCCACTTTGTTTGTTCACATCGATCACACACTTATTCCATGATTAACTTGCCCCGACATAAAGCACCAATTCGATTCATAATTTGAGTTGTGTAGCACGAAAACTTCAATTTTTTAACGTCTTTACGTGGTTCCGGATACGTAACGTGTTGAACACTCGAGAATACCTTTCGACACATTATGGGGCATCTCGTAAATCTCCAAACAGGTTACAAACATGATTGACTAGCGGATTTCCAAATATTTTTGTTGCTGCTCTAATTAT